ATTCCAGGTTAAAGCTAATTAGATCACTGCTCTGTCAATCTCTCCACTATACACACACACACACACACACACTCTCTCTCTCTCTCTCTCTCTCTGTCTCTCTCTCTCTCTCTCTCTCTCTCTCTCCTCCTTTGTAAATATTGCTGTTTAATCTAATTTTGCTTTCTTCTGTTGGCTTTAAAGAAAAGGGAGGGTGAAGGATGTCTATGTTTCCATTTCTAAAGAGTGAAGTGTGGACAACAAGCACAGAACTGGCAGAAAACATCTGAGCCAAACTGTTTCAAAGGAAGCAGTGACCTTGAGAACATGAAGGAATTTGGAAATTTCACAACATCCATGGGACACACATCAGAGCTAGAAAAATACAAATATTTTATATTTTTAAATTTTCTGTATCCCCAAAATGTCCTGTATTTAATATATTATAATTTTATTTTAATGCTATTATAATCTCTCTGTTGATCTATAAATATATTCCTTATCATTTAATAATGAAGATAAATTTATATACAACCCTTTCCTGATTAATTGTAATAAAGCACCTTCAACATAATAGACATAATACTCTTCTTCAGCTCTTCTTTAAAAAAAAGTTTCAATTTCATATATAATGGATTTATATGCATTCTTAAATTCCACACCACTTTATTAAAGGGAATTATTTAATTTTCCCTATTCATACCATTTATTTATAAAATCCAACTTGTTTGAGTGAAGATTCACTATATCCAAATTGTGCAGTTTCTAAAGTAAAAATTCAGAAGTCTTTCTAGTGACTGGTATCACATATGAATCCATAGACACCATGAATCATTTTATATAAGCCAATGTAAGCACATGGAAACAAATGGAAATGAGGTAGGACAGAAGACAGGACAGGTAGGAAGCAGGAATGCGGGGCAACACTAGAGTGGCAACAATTTAAATTCTAGATTTAAAGTCCACTTTTGTATGGACTTAAAGTCTCAATTTAAAAGTCACTTTCACATACCTTGACCAGAATGAAAACACCATTAAATCATTTATTAGATCTTATCCACAGGTGCACTAATATATCAAAGAAGAAAAGAAACCCCAGCCCAGTAATGGTCGACATGTCCAGTTACCTATGAAAGGAGAACTAAAAGTACCCTTAGGTGATTTTACACATGTAAGTGTGGCTAACAGGCAGCTGATTCATTCCTCTCCAAAGTCTGTACTCCTTCTGCCTCTCAGATGTGTGCACTTCTTTCTTTCACTTAGTAAAT